TAGATTTGAGTATCGTCAGCATAGAAATGACAGTTGATGCCATATGATCTTAAAAGTTGACCAAGTGGGAACATGTAAATGTTGAAAAGTAAGGGGCCTAGTATCAAGCCCTGAGGAACATCAGGCTTAACGGGTCCAATTTCAGACCTTAATCCCCCAAGAGAGACAAAGTGACATCGATGAGTGAGGGAAGACTTGAACCATTTGAGAGCAGTGTCAGAAACTCCAAACACAGTCTCAAGACCAGAAAGTCAGTTATTGTATTATTGCAATCATATCAACAAACTAGTAAGTGACTTTATTATTTTTTTATTTCCAATATTTTATTTTGTGTTTAATTACTGAACAGTACAGTTTAGGTTAATTAAATGTTTAATTAAGTGTATTATAAATTTGTTATAATATAATTCTCTCCAAAGTTTTATTTCTGTACTGTACTGTATATTATGTGTATGCTATATTTGGTGTTGAAATATTAGGATAATATGTATAAATATCTTGAAATTAGGGAGGATCATTGCAATGTTATGAAGTGTAATTTGATATGTGTGCTCATGCAACAACTAAAAAAAGGTCACTTCCAACTTCAATAAAATCAAGGCTAAAGACTTGCGCAACCCATATATAACCTGGGAAGTGGGTATAATTTATAATGAAACAATGTTAGTATACCCCAGCCATTTAAAAGCAATTTCATACACATTTCAGTTCAAATAAATGTAATCTTTGATGCTTGAGCACATATTACCAACCTGACAGCAGGCAATGAAGTCATTTTATGGGTATGTCTATGTTCACCCTTTGCTTCAGTGGCTGCATCTTGACCATCTTGTCTAAATCTAACCACAGGGAAAGGTATTTTATGGTCTTTTGAGGTTTCACTTAAGCTTTGCAAGATCTAGGCTGTAGCTTCAAAAGCTTTCAAAAAAGTTAATCCATTGAATCCGATTCCAGCAAAAGTTACCACATCATGAAATAAGGTTTGTACAGTATATTTCCATGACCAAGATACGGTAGATTAATAGGTGGGTAAACATAAATTCTCTTTTAACACAGACACTTTCAAAATGGGAAGACACTGCATTTAAGATGAAAAAATAACTAATTTAGTCTTGTACCACTACAAAACCTTTTGCCACTATTATTGAGAACAGACCAAGGCCTCTCAACTAACTGCATGGCTCGTTAAGGTACAGTACATTTGTGCACCTAAATAAATGAAAGGATTTCAATATTTATGCAATTATGACATTTTTCTTTAATATTATCTATTATTTTCTGTCTGTTTTCTTGCTGTGAAGGTGTAGAGTAGGATGTTTTTTTTTAATATTAATTTCTACTTCAAAGTGACATATCTGTAAGTTTAAAGCAGTAATGTTAAAACTGTGTAAAGGTCTGAATATGTCTGTCTAATCAAAGTGAAACCTCAAAGTTCAAAGTAACTCAGCTGACTGAAGAGATCATAACTGCACAGGCTATAAATTAACTACTAGATCTAATGCAGTTGTTCAGTTTTCTCAGGAATTTAACACATTTATCAATATAAGATATTTCAACAATATTAGGTTAACAATATGTAAATTTGGGGGGGTCCTTAGCTGCTCAGCCAGTGAGCTGCTCCTTCTAAGAAAAGATTGGTTTGTACGATCCAGACGTTGAACTTGAACTT